ACCAAAGATTAAAAACTTTGGCTTTAAACTAAAGATTATTAAATATCAAAGAATATATATTTAAAATTTAGAGAAAGATTTATATGTATACTTTTACAAAAATAAATATTAAGCAATACAGTATATATATAATCAAAATATTTTGCTAATTTTTTAATATAAAATTTTTATCATTATACAAAAATTAATTAGACTAGACATATGTTTGATTTTATTAGGTGATCAGCTATTTTTGAAGGGCCCGAAGAGCGTTATTTCGCGTTAATACGGTACTTGAAATTGCCCTTAAAAACGGATTAGAAAAAAAAAGTCTGCCATGACAATAAGAACACACATATACAGTATCAAAAATGTGATAAATAGATGCAATTTTGTTTATGATTTTGCATAATCTTATTCATTTGATCATTTAATTTCATTTCTATTCGTTATTGATAGGCCATTTCTTTAGTCTCGTTCAAAATTATATAACTAGTAAATTATTCATTGAAGTTTTGAAATAAACTATTTTATTCGTGCTGACTTAGTGCACTCGGACTTTAATCAAGCACACTGCTAGAACTGGAAAAAAAAAATTTTAAGATATATCCATCTACTTTTACTTACGATGTTTGAAGATATAATTACGTGCGTTTGAATGGACTAAAGAAGCTGAAGAATCTTACTATATTGGATTGACTCGTTATAGACGAAGTTCAATAAAAGTCCAGTCTTGGAGGTTATTCTACTCAAAATTGACTGTTAATTGTTAATAGCACGTGACTTAGATTAAAAAAATTTATCGATCGATTAGCATTTCCCGAGACAAGCCTAGACTTCCCGAGAAACTCGTTAACTCGTTAGATTACTGACAGCAATGCTTCGTACGTGCCGCTTATCGAGCTCTCTTAAACTTTCATTTAGTCGAACCTATGCTAGTGTCGCTGCCTCACCCGTGACAGTTACAAAGTCTAAAACTGGAATTACTGTCGTTTCGGTTGAAGGTGAAAAATGTTTCTAAAAGTTTTGGCCCTTCCAAATACTCGATAGAATTCGTCAACATACTTTGGTGGAATTATAAAGCCTGAGTAGCTCCTGTTTTTCATACTCTGAACTTTTATACAAATAATAAAAGATAGTGCCCCTGCTTCTTCTGTCTCCCTTGTGGTAAAGGCTGGTTCTCGGGAGGAGGGTACTGATAATGTCGGTGTGGCTCATTTTTTAAAGAATTTTGCTTTTAAGGTAGGATAAAGATTTAATTAAATTTGATCCACAAAATGTTATATATGACATTGTATTGTATATTGACAAATACTAAATGAGTTCATCTTTTTACTTCTTTTTTTATGTTCTGATATAATTTTAATCATTATTCATTAATTATTCAAAGAACACGTCGACGCGAACTGCGTTCCGCACCGCGCGTGAAGCAGAATTGCTCGGTGGCTTCCTATCTGCAAATTTGACAAGAGAAAATTTAATACTCTCGGCTGAATTTTTACGCAGTGACCTGTATGTAACATATATTAAACATATAAAATATATTATTTTTAAATTCTTTCGAATTCGAAGCTTTTGAAGGTATCAATGTCAAGATTATTAAAGTAATTCAATTAATTCATACAATTTTTTTTTTTAATAACTAATTAGAGGTTACTTTATGGAAATTTTATCTGATATTATTTTCAAAACAAAATATGAGCCACATGAATTTCCTATCATTAAGGAGAGTGTCAATTTTGAAAGAGGTGCTGCTGCTGCTATTCCTGAAGTTACAGCTTTAAATGCTGCTCATGCTGTGGCTTTCCGTCATGGCCTTGGCAATTCTTTATTTGCTGATGGTGCAACAAAAGTCTCAAGTAGTTCTGCTGTTAGAGCATTTGCTAATAAAGTTTATACTTCATCAAACATCACGATTTTGGGTACTTCTGTAAATCACAATGAGTTATTAAATCTTACAGATTCATTATTTCAAAATATTAGCCACACTGTTCCTCCTACTCCAATTTCCTCAAAATATTTTGGTGGGGAATGCAGAATTCCTGCTCCTGGTGATAGCCATTTTGTCCTTGCTTTTCTAGGTGCACCTATTGGTACTCCTGAATACGCTGCCCTTCAAGTTTTACGTTTCCTCATTGATGGCGAAAAAAGCACCAAATGGGGTGAAGGTGTCAATGTATTAGCTCAAAAAACAAGTAAGCTCAATCATATAAAAATTAGTTCCTTCAATACTGGATATTCGGATGCTGGTCTTTTTGGTGTATATATCTCTGGAACTGCTACGTCTGTATATTCCGCTTCTCGTGTCGCTGTCGAACAATTAAAACATGCCGCAAATAAGATTTCAAATGATGATTTCTTGCGAGCTTTAGCAAAGGCTCGTTTTAATGCTGCTGCATCTTATGAGACACGCGCTTCTAAAACAGAAATTTTCGGTAACCAGGTAATCACTCGTAATAGGTCAATATTTTAATGAGTTGATCATTGTTCTTTGTTTATATTAATAATTATATTATTAAATTTATAGGTTTTGTTTTCTGGAAAAGTCACTCCGGTGACTGAAGCTATTGCCCAATTTGATCGTTTCAAAGTTGAAGACATTCAAAACGTATGTAATTTTTTGAAGTCTATAGCCTTACCAGATTCTGCTCTTGAAAATTTCTTAGCGCTGAATCCGATAAGATAACTTCTTGCTATCTGGCATGATTTGACGGATACAGAGTATCGGCAGGATAATAGCAAAAGCACGTGGCCGAAGACATCGTGCGTTGCAATTATACTTTCGATGTACATGATCCGTATATCATGCCGGATATCTAGTTTATCTGGCAGGTATAACGTATACACTTACGGAAAGAATTTTATATTACTTCCGCAGATTTTTATTTTAAAATAAATAAGAAATTGTCACATGATTTTTAATAAAATTTGCGGAAATAATGTGAAATTTTTTCCGTCATTGTTTACATAGTACCTGCCGGATGATAAGTTAACCCCAGGAGTTTTGATTTTCTTTGGCGTCATTCATTTGAATATTAGTATGTTTACTCAATTTCTCATAAATAAATAGGTTGCGACAAAGATTCTTAAATGCAAACCTACTGCAGTTGCACTCGGCGATATCAGCACTTTGCCGTATTCTGATAGTCTTTCTCTCTAACTAAAAAAAAATAAAAAAAATAAAAAAATAAAATTCACATTATCATAGGTCATATGAGTGACTTTTAATTAAATAAACTCTGTTTTTTATTTATTTATTCGATTTCTAAATAATACTTTATGAATTTGCCAACAATTTATGATGGCATATAGTTCTTTATATTCAAATTGAAATATAAGCCCTCTAATAATTTTAAATATCCTGCTGTATTTCATCGCAGGATATTTTTTTTCATGTGGGCAATAAAAAAATTTTTTAAAGTCAACATTTTATCCTACCTGCAGATTTTGCTTATCGTTAGCTTGCAGGTCTCATTTAGTTGACTACAATCACAAATTTAATTACTGTAATAACATATGAACTCTAAAAGCAATTTATTCGACTACTTTTTATTTTGATTGTTTTTTATTATAATACATAAAATTTTTAAGAAAATTTTAGTTAAAAAAATTAATTTAGAATCACGGTGAATTTTACCGGTATATGTTTTGGATTATTATTGTAAAGCTTGGGTTTTTAAGTGTTAAATATCTTAGTATTTAAACACTAAATTACTGTGCCAAATTTAACCATATTAGTAACATAATATTTATTAAAACACACGTGATCACCCGACATCCCGGCAACATGTCGGGATAAAGGTGGTCCGTGAATTTTGAATTTAGCTGTAAAATCGATTAGTTGATTTAGTTGACAACTAATCGATTGAAAAATTTTTGCCAACTTATTAAAATCGAATAAAAATCGAATAAAAAATCGAATAAAATCGAATAATTGAAAGTTAACAACTAATCGATTGCAAAATTTGTATTACTAATTCTAGGTATTACAGTATCACTTACAGTATTGTCCGGAGCGAAGCGAATGCGTAATTATGTCACTGATTGGTTGAATCATATGATGTGGTTTACACGTAGATTCACGTATAAGTATCTGTTATTTGTTTGAACTGATCTCTTTAAGACACTTTGGGTGTGAAAACAAAAGACAGGTTTTTTTTCTTGCATCTTTAAAGGATCCTTTTTTTAAACATACAGTATTTTGCTTTTGTTTGTTTGAGTTTTGTTTTTTTTGTGAATATTATCATTAATACTATTTTTATTTTTTTTTCACACCTAAAGCCCCATTATGTTCTTACTTTTTAATTAATTAAATATTGTAAGTATATATTATTGGTATTTTATTATTTTGAAATTTGAGTTTGAAAAATAAATTAAAAATAAATCAACTCATATTTTTTAGGGTTTTATTGATACCTGCTTGCAGAAAATAAGATAATATATATATCTGGCAGAATCTTGGTTTAGAACATGGATTAAACCTGAGAAAAAATAGCAAACTCATTTTCAAGTATATAGTATCTATAATATTTGCAAAACAGAGATTTTTTTTCTGCAAAATAAAGTCTACTAATACTAAAAAAATATTGGATATTCCTTAACACAATAAAAAGTTTTGCAAAATAATTGATAAAAAATATATTTATTTTTACTTAATCAAAAACCACCTATCTATCAAAAGAAACTATCTTATTATTTGACAATAATAACAATCAAGCCCTAATTAAAGCTAGTAGACTTCTAATTTTTTGACAATTTAGCCTTGTTTGTGGGCTTTTGATCCTTCTCAACAAGGTTCTTAATATCACAGTTATCATATAGCTTATATTGCAGAAAGGTTCTTAATCTCTTATATTTAAATAAGACATAAATATAGATATAATATTTTTCTTAAGTTTTATACTATTTTATTTTTGAAGTTCTCAATAGGATATAGAGTTTTTAAGTTTAGTTCAGTTTAGTTTAGGTTCAATAAATCTGAACCTAAATATGAACCACAAATTTTGCAGATCATTAAATCTGAATCTGAACTAAACCTAAATCTAAAGTTTTAGTTTAGTTTAGATTTGGTTCAAGATTCATAAACATGTTTAGGTTCAGTAGTAGTTTAGTAACAAAATATAGTAAAAATTTTTTTTTGCTTTTAGAATTTTCAAATTTGAAGTTTTTTAAAAAAATTTTTTTTTTTTTACTAAGTAAACCTATTTTTAATTTCTAAGAAAAGTTGTAGAGGAGTGTTTTATAATCAAATAATCAAAATGGTAGTTAGGATATTAAAATCAGCCTAATAGATCATAAAATATAAGTATTTTAGTTCTTATGACTATATATTTTTTCTTTTATATAAATAAAAAAAAAACAAATAGCCATCAAGATAAAAATACTTATATTCCTTAATTTACTAGACTAATTTTAATTATTTAATTACTATTTTAATTGCAAAACATTTCTATATAATTTTAATTAGAAGTTAAAGAGATATTTACTTTGCAAAAATTTAAAATCAATAATATCTTGCATAATTTTATTAATAAAATTATAAAAAATATTATAATCTTTAAAATTTTACTAATTAATTATATATTTATATTATAAATAGACTTATTCTACATATAAAGCTACATTATATCAGTGTATATTTATATTATAATTTTAAATTTTAAAAAAAATATTCTTAATTTTGAAAATTTTGATCAAAAATTCAAAATTAAATATACTTTTCTTAAATTTTTTATTTTTTTTTTTTGGTATTAAGGTGATCTCTTTAGCTATGGGAAACTCTTTATTAGTAATCATTTACTATTATAGTTATAATAAAGATACAACTAGCTACACATGTACCTTTTGAGTACCTATTTTAAGTAGTCTACCTGCAGATTCTATACTAGATATTATATTTATAATCTAACTAGAAAGTTATCTGTTTAAACTTTCTGATTCTAACTATTTTTATGGCATATTATACTAACCCAAAAACTACTATCTGGCCTATTTATCTAGATTATACACTCTGCTTTAGAACTTCTATGATTTATCTTGGGTTTGCACTAACTAATTACTGTCTTGCATTCCTCTGTTGAGCAAACACATGGCTATTTATAAGATAAACCTATTAGAGCTTTCTCTATCCCATTTGAGCTAATCTGGTTTTGCACAATTGCCAAGGCTCTTACTTGCAGTTGAGTTGTTACTTATTTAACTGCTTTTGTTTTTTTTTCTTAAATTTTACAAATATAAACTAAATATATTATAGTATAGATAACTAGCCTTGTTATCTATATCACTTGACTTAATACATAGAGAGTAAGGAATATAAATAAAAGAGGACAGAGAAAAAGAAAAAAAAGAAGACCAAAGACAAAGAATATAAAATATATAGTATAAAAATATAGAAGGCAAGAAGAAAAACTAACAAAGAATAATAAAACTAAAATAGAAAGTAGTAAAAAAGAGCAATAAAAAAGACAATAAAATCAAAATAAAAAATAATAAAAAGAAGCTACAAAGAATAACAAAAAGGCAATAAAAGAGAGTATATAATATAACAAGTATATAGTTAAAAAGGATAATATTTATTTATTAGAGAATAGTTAAAAGAATATAAATTAAAACCTAGCAGAACTTTTCTTGCCTTAGACAAAAAGACAGAGTTTTTATATTGTTATATTAGCGATATATTAGTATTTTTAAATTTTTATTAAGTAACTCTGTGTAGCTTCTAATTGTAGTACAGATCTGATTCCACCAATGGAATCCTTGATATCAATTTCCTTAGTGTAGTTTTTACCGTTTGTCAATTGGGTTAATAGTTAACAAGTTATTAAGGTTTAAAGATATATAATTATAGAAGATAATGAATAATAATCTATTCCAGTGACATGAGGCCCATTGGTACAGACCCATTGGTACAGACTCATTGACTCATAGGCCGACATTCATCTGATTGGCTAATTGATTCAATTGCCCGGGTAACTAATTTATGTGCTTTAAAGTACT